CATTATTCTGCAACCATCATACTTTCATACTTAAGAATGAGTCGTCACCCATACTGAGTAAATGTTCATTCAATACATACCTCACGCACTCTCTAACTAACGATCATTCAATATTCTTGCTCATTTCCATTGAATTTTAACCATGATGATAATCTTGCTTCTCCATTTCGTTTCGGCATATAACAGATATTTGTTCCATCTTGTTCCGTGCTTGAGCGTGTTATCAACTTAATTAACTTGCAGACTTCTACCTTTACTCTTACGAGAAGGTTTCTTACCACTGGTACTCTTGAAACCAAATTATGTAGTTTTCTCATGCATTTGAATAACCAGTTCTATTTCTCAACACTGTTTAACTGGTTCAGTGACAATCACTTAAGTTACTATCTGAAATCTTGTTTACAATATTCTCATTCAACTTCTCACAAATTTCTTAATTGAATCATCAAAATCAGGCAATGTTCCTCATGGCGAAATACTTTGCCAACTCAATAAACTTGGTCAAATATTCATCCAATGACATACCATCTTGGGGATGCTCTCCAAACTCTTTAATATCCTTATGAAAATAATTTATAAGTCATAACCTAGCCATGGGCTCCAAACAGTTGAAATATATAAACCCATCAATCATGGGCATCCCCTTGTAACTGATATATAGCAAAAGGAAGTTTCCATTGTCTTGAACATTACATCCCTTGTTATACCTAATCTAAAGATTGCAATCCTATGGCTGTTACAACAGGGTCATAATCCCATCAAATGAAAAGGATTGGTTCTCCTTGAAAACGCTCAATTTCCTTTCTCTTGCATCACAACATTCCTCATTCATCCTGATTACTCTGCCTATTTACTGATATCTCTTGTCATATAATAGTTAATACTACTGCTATTAAATTTGGTTGATCATGTAATTCCATATAAAGATTAATTGAGCTTGAGGAAGAAGATCAGTTACACATTTTCCGTGTCAGACGCTTCTCGCTCGTTGCCTTCACTCCCCTTCTCCCTTTTAAGGCTGTTGTAAATAATAGTTTAGAATAGTAGTATAGAAGTCCCACATCATGTATATCTCTTTGTATTTTTTTTCTTTTGAGTAATATAATAGTTTCTCCGCTGTGTAGTTGAGACACACGGATTACTTATAAATCTCCTTGTTCTTGATATTCAACATGGTATCAGAGCCTAACAAGATCCGCATCTTTTCGGTAGACCCACTATCTACCGAGTAAAAATCTTCCCGAAAACTGTCACCATCGTCAGTTTCCGGCCACCGTCTGCCACCACCGTCCTCCACTAGAAAATTTTTCCGATCGTTTTGATCAAAAAGTACATCAACGGACTCAGAAGAAGCCGATCTACCCAACGCCGCAAGATCCACCGTCATCAGAGGTTGCCAGCATTGTGGACCACCGTTTGACCACCGTTGACCGCCACCACCGATCACTTTTCAGGCACTTTTTCCGACGAGTCACCCACAGTTGTGATCGTCACAAGAAGGCGGTTATTTCCGTCCAAGGCCCGCTCCTAAATTCTGACTGAAGCACCCTCACGTGTGTGAAACATACGCTCGGCTTCCACCGTTAGGATCACCCTTTCCTTCCGTGTTCAGATCGATCCTTACCTTGTGGTTTCGAGTCCGTTGCGGCCCTTCCGAAGCATTTCTCCTCTTTCCATTACTGTTCACGATTCAACGAATTGTTCTTGATCCATGGCTGATTCTAGCTCATTTATACTTCCTCAAGATATTTCTCGGCTCACGATCACTAGTTTCACTGCTACTGTTGTGCATACAGGTAATAGCGTTGCTGGTTTCACTCAAAGTTCATCATTTGGACATTGGGTTCTTGATTCTGGTGCCTCTGATCATATTTCTGGTAATAAATCTTTGTTTTCCTCTCTTTCTACCTCTGGTTATTTGCCTGTTGTCACTATGGCTAATGGTTCCCAGGCTCAGTCTCATGGGATTGGAACAGTACATCTCTTTCCCTCCATTACTATTGATAATTTGCTCTATGTCCCTGGTTCACCCTTTAATCTCCTTTCCATTAGCCGTTTAATACGTTCTCTTGATTGTCTCATTCTTTTACCCAAAATTCTGTTGTTTTACAGGATCGAAATTCGGGGAGACCAATTGGCAGCGGATTTGAGTCCAATGGCCTTTACCTGCTCTCCAGCTCCTCTCATGCTTATTCTGTATTAGATTCTCCACTCACTATTCACGCTCAGTTGGGCATCCTAGTCTTACAAAGCTCCAGAAGATGGTGCCACGTTTGTCCAAGTTGTCTACTTTGCAATGTGAATCATGTCAATTCGGGAAACATACTCGCAGTTCTTTTCCTAATAGAGTCAATCGTCATGCCTCCTCTCCTTTTAGTTTGGTTCACTCTGATGTTTGGGGACCCAGTCGTACTGAATCAACTCGGGGTTATAGATATTTTTTTACCTTTAATGACGATTATTCTCGAAACACTTGGTTATTTTTACTGAAAAGCCGCTCTGAGTTGTTCTCCATATTTCAGAAGTTTTATCATGAAATTCTTACTCAATTTGGTATTCTTATCCGCACTTTTCGTAGTGATAATGCTCGTGAGTATCTGTCTCAACCATTTCAATCATTCATGACATCTCACGGCATTCTTCACCACACATCATGTGCGCACACCCCCAACAAAACGGGGTTGCTGAAAGAAAAAATCGTCATCTTATTGAAACGGCTCGGACACTCTTAATTCATGGGAATGTTCCTACTAGTTTTTGGGGTGATGCTGTTCTCACCGCATGCTATCTCATTAATCGCATGCCTTCCTCTGTCCTTGGTAACCAGGTACCGTATTCTATCTTGTTTCCTCATCAGCCTTTACATTCATTACCCCTTCGTATTTTTGGTTCTACTTGTTTTGTCCATGAACTCGGTCCCAATCGTGACAAGTTGTCTGCCAAATCCCACAAATGTGTGTTCCTCGGTTACACCCGGGCACAAAAAGGTTATCGGTGTTACTCTCCCAGTCTCCATCGCTCTTTTGTCTCGGCGGATGTTACTTTCTTTGAGTCTGTGCCATTTTTTGGCTCCACCTCCGTTCCCGATGACTCTGTTGATACTCAGTTACCTTTACTCTCTGTTCCAATTCAATATGTTCCGGCACCAGATTCTACACCACCACCGCCTGCACCAGATTCCACACCACCACCACCTATTGTCACTTCTCCATATGTCCCAGCACTAGATCCTCCTCTCCAGGTTTATCATCGTCGGCCACATCCACGCATACCCCAAGACATTGATGAGTTTCCTATGGACTCAGATCTGTCGTCATCAACTCCTGCGGTTTCGGTCCCGCCCTCTGAAATTGACCTACCCATTGCTCTCCGAAAAGGTACTCGTGTTTCATGAAAGGACCAAGCACATTGAGATAGACTGTCACTTTGTTAGAGAAAAAGTCCTCTCTGGAGATATAGTCACTAGTTTTGTTAACTCATCTGATCAATTAGCTGATGTTTTCACTAAGTCTTTGAGAGAGTCTAGGATAGATCACTTATGTAACAAGCTTGGTGCATATAATTTATATGTTCCAGCTTGAGGGGGAGTGTTGTAAATAATAGTTTAGAATAGTAGTATAGAAGTCTCACATCATGTATATCTCTTTGTATTTTTTTCCTTTTGAGTTATATAATAGTCTCTCCGCTGTGAAGTTGAGACACCCAGATTACTTATAAATCTCCTTTTTCTTGATATTCAAGAAAGGCCTTTTGCATTACATCTCTTTATATAACACAAACAAATGAATAATTCGATGGAGTGATCAAGTGATCTTCCACCCTTCCCTCCAAATAGTCGCTTCTTTCAACACTTCATAAAGAACCAAAAAAAAAAAATGAAAGAAAGTGAACACAAAATATCTCAGCTATCATCAAGGTTAGTAGGTTAGTAATAGAAGGCAGTGCGGTATCCTAGTTTTGAGTGTGAAGCTTTCTTCCTCATTGAAGAAAATTGGATGGATTGATGGACATGTTTAAGAGTTAATGGTAGTCATTTTTTTATTTTATTGACAAGACACTTATCTCTCTTTAATAAATGAGAGGCCAAACTTGATTATTCTGAAATTGTACATACGCACATATTTAATAGGTACATCAATTACCATAAGTCCTATCACTTTCACTTTTGTCTATTTATGTCAAATAAAGACTTCATTTTAAGATATTATAGGATGTTGTCAGGATTTGTATCTGTATAACATTAGTCAAGGTCAGCAAAATGTATACGAGGTATTTATGGAGAAAACCTTCCGTGAAGCGGATATATGTACATCCCTGTAAAAAAAAATAAGATTTTGAAATATGAAGGAAAATAAATAAAAAAGGATAGAAATGAACAAAAAAAAAAATTCTCATTTGATAAAATGATGTACCCAAATGGATACATCAGATGTATTCACAAAATTTCCGTATTTATGGTGTATCTTATACTCAACTTGACTAACCTATTCTAGTCTGACCATTGAATAAAAAGAAGATATTTTCTAATATATTTTTTCTTAAGCACGAATAAGGTAAACTAAAAGTATATAAAATTTAGGGGAATAGACACCAAAATATAAGTGAAATTCACTACGAATAAAAGAGAAAAATAAAAATAAATTTCACTAACTTTTTTTTTACGTGAGCACGAGATAATTTTATCCATATAATATGAGAAATATATAAAAATATATGTAAGCTATATGAAAAAAATAGTTATGTGTAAGTAATACTTTAAAAAAAAAAATTTAATTATCTCTTTCAATTACATTATTATTGTTAAATTAAAAATAAATTAACAATTTTTATTGATTAATAATTACAAGAAAAAAAACTATAAGTATAACTTCCCTCTTATAATTATTAAGAAGACTTTTAATTTCAAATCAGTGCCAGTTAATTTTACCACGATATAAACATTTCAAAAATAAATGTCTTGAAAGGATTATTTTGATCATAAAATAAATTAATCTGAATAGCTAAATATATATTTAAAGGAGGAGGATAATATCTCTACCAAAAGAAGGCTTTCTGAGTCAGTTCAGTTCACTGTTTTCATCCACTAAATTCAATTTGCTGCCTACATAAATATATCCTACAACCAGATCAACGAATAAAATAAACAAATGGTACTAGGCTTTGTAATTATAACTTCTATTCAATTCACCAACAGCATGGAGTATTGGAAGAATCATCACAAGAATTATCAACATGTCTGCCCATGATGACATCAATTGTAGGAAAGGAACAAAGAAACATCACGCTTATCATTGGCAATAAGTAGAGCCCACAAATTAGACTTTTACTAGCATCCCCAGTTTATCAGCTGTCATAAAATCTACAGGGAAAAAGCAATATTAACAATACAAAAAGTTACTTCTCGTAGGTTGCAAGTACAAGAAAACAATAGCTTAAAGGCATAGTCACTTCTGTTAGCCAAGAAAATAAAAGGAAATAGTTACTCTGAAATATTAATGATCAAGTGTTCAAGTAAGACCTTTTATAATACAAGGAGCAACAACATAATACCACATAGCACATGTGATTTATCACAGTTGATATCAATACATATAATCATAATGTAAGGAACAGTTCTTACTTCTTAAAATAAATAAATGGTAAATATTGTTACTTGTTATCAAGATAAGGAAAATTTCTTCAGTGCTACGGATGCACTGAGTTTTCGGTGTATCTTCCACTTACAATGTGACACGTATCTACTTTTGTCAAATCATTAATAAGTAATTTATTTTAAAATCAGGTAAGAAATTGATTTGATAAAAAATAAGACAAGTATCACATTGTGAGTGAAAGATGCACCGAAAACTCAGTGCTCCCGTAGCACTAAAGATATTCTCCAAGATAAGACAGATCCAGCAATAATAAACTCACCCATGTGTAACATGCACTTCCATTATAAAAAGGATCTTAAACTCCCGAGACAATCTCAACTTTGAATTCATAGTCTCAATGTTTCGTTTTGCAAAATGTATTAATGAAGTTACCTCCTCAGCTCACAAACTAGGTGCAACTTATAGCACTCCAATTTCAGTTTATGTTCGAATGTAGCAGCCCACCCAATTTTAATCTAAGCACGCCATGTACGACTATCTAAAATTTTCCAATGTCCAGAGGCATGGGCAAATATGATGAATCAGGACTCCTAAATGGTTGTCGAGCCCACACTGGATACATTACATTTCCAGTATAAGAACTTGTTGAGTATACACGGGCACATACCCAATAATCCCCCCCCCCCCCCCCCAAAAAAAAAAAAAAAAAAAATTCACTATTTAGTCAAGCATTGCAACCGAGTAGATATCACTCAAGTACAAGTCACTCCATGCAAAATAACAAATTTTGATATTTGTAATTGCTACAATATTGTTTGGTTTTCAGCTGCACCAAACAAACTGCTACTTCAAGTTTTCAAATCGTTGCACCCTCTTTAGGTACTTTCGCTTCTGTGGTATTTTTATGGAGTTTGTTGAAAACCGTTAGAACATTACAAAAATATTATCTATCTTATGATGTAATTTATTGTCTGTTTTTATATTTTTATATAAAAAATATCCTCCCATAACAGTATCCTACTTTTTAAAAAATTTGCCATACCCGTATCCATACAACCTAGTATGTCAATCTCAACAAACTTCATTTAGGAACAAAAACTGCATCTTTAGATCAATATACACATATACATCCACAGTTGGTATTATGTAATGGATATTTTACTACAAATTAGTTTTCCAAAAAATACATACTGCGCATCCAATGCAGAGAGGGAATGGGGAACTGTCATCCCCTCTAAAATGGGTCGGAAACACTAATCCTCCCCACAATTGAATGCACATTTGATAATTTTATCCTCAACGATTAATCAAAACTATACTATCATCAAGTGTAAGAAAATGTTTTAGAGAGATTCTCTCTAGTCTACCCTCAAACCCCTCTGCTTAATGAAGTGTTTATGAAAACAATTTCATAGTCCACGCTATTCAGTGCAATGACAACCCACTCGTATAAATCACAACTCCATCTACCACTCTGTAATAACACGTGTTTTAAGTTTCTTGGGTACTAGATTTGCCAAAGTTGGGAATTGCCACTTTCATGACCACAGCAAAAGCCCTATCTTCTCCAAATTGCATAGACTTTACACCCAGAAAGTTCTCAAGTAATTCAACTTATCAAGGGTTAATGAGAACAAGGAAAGTGAGTTGTCGTGGAGTTAAAGCTAGGTTTATATCCCGTAATGGGTGATGTAAATCGATATGTGGGTGTCTTACAATCCAATTGTAAGTTAAGTCCCACATCAAAAACATAAGGTTCTAGCGTGGGGATTATATGGACTTTGAGCTCTCTTACTTACAAGCTAGTTTTTTGGGTGAAGCTCTCCTAAGGTTCATATCAAGGTGCTCAAAGAAGCAGAAGTATGGACTAAAACTCCAAGAGAGATACCGTAAGTGCTATCTTAGGTGAAGTTGAGAGAGGGGGGATGTTAATGGGCACTATTGGCTCTATATTTTGGCAAAATAACCAGTGTTGTTAAAATGTCGTTTCCGGACATAAAAACGTCTATTTCTACGTTTTTGGGTCAAAAACATGTTGGAACGATGGTAGAAACGAAATCTACGTAGAAAACGGTTGAAATGCCGAGTTGACTCAATAAACCTGATTGACTTGACGAGTTTACTGAGTTGACTTGGTACTGGAAAAAAAAAATGGAGGGTATTGGCGTGCTGGATATCTATCAGCTTCAAGGACTTTCAAGGAATCCTTGAAAGACTTACGCATGGAAGCTACGTACATCTTTCCCACTCAAACGATCACACCCAGAAAATAAAAAAAATAAAATAAAAAAAAGCTTTTTCAATAGAAGAAAAGAGAAAATAGTTGGGTGAATGAACCCCAATTCCCTCGGCTATATTTTTTTCACTCTATCTGTGAGACATTGAAGAGTGACAAGAGAGAGAGAGAGAAAGACTGGGTGCTTCGTGTTGCTTATACGCTGTTCTTGAAAGCCAAGATGGTGATGATGTCAGGACACGTGTACAACCAACAACATTGCCCTTCTTCCATTATGAATAATATATTATTTTTATTTACAAATTAAATACTTGATAATAAATTATATAAAGTATTATAGTAGTAGTATTTTCAGTTGGAAGTTTTTATAATAAAATTATTATGAATATGATAATTAATTATGATTAAAGAGAAACTAAATGACTGATTAAACTTAAAGAAAATCTTAATATATTAGATAACATATTTAATATATTAAAATTTAGTGAATTTTATATTTTTTTAATATTTTTAATTCATCGATAAGTGCTAGAGCTTTTATTTATTTTATGTAAAAAAGTATATGGTGTTGAGGTTTACAGCCTGTTGTAAATGGTTGACTTAAATTAGAGATGTTGATCTCTTTTATAATTGTATTACCTTGGTGTTTTGATTTTAATATGTATTACGATGACTGAGTTTGAACTTAATTTTTATTTCCTTTAATGTTTGGACTTAAATTTGTGATGACTTATGTATTGGTGTGTTTTGGTTTTATATATGTTGGATATATATTTGTTTTGGTACGTAGTAAACTCTTACGTTTCGTTTATGTTTTACGATTTTACGTTTCTGCTCACCCCTACCATTCCTAGGTAGACTCTACGTTTTAACAACATTGAAAATAACAACTCATGAAGATGATGATTTGCAGATGCCCCCTCTTATATAGAAGAGGCGTAAATATATAGGTGAAAAATATCCCCTCACGATGAAAGAGAGAAGAGTCATAACTGTTTTTGCCCTATACCTCACTCCATCTGCGAGGACATGCTCCGCTACGTGGGTGTAGTGAGCTATGCAGGGGATGAATGACCATCTACTTTGAGGTCCATGTGTTCACCATGGGGAAGCAGGGGTATGATCCCTTCATGGGCCTTGGCAGGCCGGCCCAAATATATTGGGCCAGTGGTGGTCACTGGTCAGTCCAGAACAGAAAGGAAGGTCGTGGAGGGGACAAGACACACTAAATTTTTCAGAGACTGACAGAGTAAATCTTCCTGGGTTATACTTCTAAGATCTAACTTATAAGACAGCAAGCCAGCATATAGAGCAAAAGGATTTTCTTGATCGAAGCCCATAAATTTCTACTACACATTCAACAGAAAACATCAACATCTAAAATCCTCTTTATCCCAAACTAATTGGAGTCCGACAGTTGATGAATCCATATATATAAGAGCATAACAAATTGAGAGAAAAATAAACATAGAAATATTCTACCCTGAACAATGTTAATATTTTTCCTCGACACCAAACTATCTTCAATTTTAATAGGTCTTATTCTACCACTTCCGCCAATCTATTTTCCATCTCGTCAAGTCTTGTTTTACTACTCCCTCAAGTAAGTTCAGGTCAACATATTCCTTTCTTTATCTCATGCTCTCGAAGGGGAGGGAAAAATAATGCCACACATTCAAAGGGGGTGAAAATGCATCTCACATGACAACAACTGACAAGAATGATGCAAAAGAATAAACATAACATTTGTTACCTCTTGAGATTGAAAGAAACAGCAGCAGCAACAACAACAAATTGTTACGATTACCTGTTCAGTTTTATACATACTAAATGACAGCATTCCTTTGGCGAACCTTAGCTTTCTCAGCATCAATAATAGACTCAACCAACTCAACAGCATTCTCAAGCTTCCCCTTAGCATTCACAACAACATAATCAAAGTTCTTCACATGCTTCACCTCCTCCCTCGCAGTGGCAATCCTCACAAGCAGAGACTCCGCCGTCTCCGTTTTCCGATCCACCAACCTCTCCACCATCTCCATCTCGCTCTCCGCCACCAAGAAAACGAACACCGCCGACTTACCCAGCACCTTCCTCAGCGTCTGAGCACCCTGTATATCAACCCTAAGCACAATATCATAACCTTTCCCCATATACTCCCTAATCTGCTGTTTCGGAACACCCTTGTAATCCCCATACACAACAGCGTACTCAAGAAGCTCCTCCCTTTCCACCATCCCCAGAAACTCATCTTTCGTCACGAAGTAGTAGTCTTTCCCATCCACCTCGCCGGGTCGCATGGGGCGGCTGGTGGCGGTGACGACGAAGTGGAGGCCGCTCCGTGACTCGCGGAGGCGGCTGATGACGGCGTCTTTGCCGACGCCGCTGGGTCCGCTGATGACGATGATGAGCGGGTTCGGGTTCGGGTAGAGAGGGTCCGAACTGAAGGAAGAGCCAAGGGAGGCTTCGAGGGCGCGGAGGAGCTCCGAGCGGTCAGCTTTGTCGACGGTGGGGATGGGCACCGATAAGGGGCGGCGAGCATCGCCCATTTTGGTTCGAAATGAAAGGGAAGGTTTTTGAGTGAGAGAATTAAGAATGGGGAGAGAGAAAGAGAAGAACAAGTTGTTCCCTTTGGGTGGAATTGGAAGAAGATTGGGGAGAGAGGTGCTAAAGAGGAACCTGCGAAACATGGAGCACAATAAATGAAAGAAAGAATCACCGTAATTATAGGGATGAAGATGAGGGTTGGTAAATAAATATAAAAAAAAAAAAAAAAACCACCACCAAAGTTATATATAATAGTACTGTTTATCAGCTTATGGTATGCTACACTCGTTTTTATATACTTTAACTCAATTCCCTCATTGACCGGTCGGTTTCGTCTACTTGATGGTTCGGTCTGGTCAACAAAACCAGTGTTTTAAGAACCGATGCCATTCAATTGTGTTTGAATGTGGCATTTCATTCTATAGTCCCATGAGTAAAATACAAACTTTACTTATTCTATATGATAAATAAAGAAACTGTTAAAACCCGGCTTTTTGACCCTTATAACCTTTTATTAATAATTAATTACCAAATTAACCTTCATTCTAAACTATTTCAAAAATTTAACCCCCTCCAAAAACATAACACCAATCTGCCCCTGTTTGACCGTTGACCACCAAGCCTACCCGGGTACACTCCTCCCTACCCGGGTATTTTTTAAAATTTTTTGTCTACCCGGGTAGGGAGGGGTGTACCCGGGTATTTTTCTTAGCACCTGAGAAATTGCTTGAATTATTTACCCGGGTAGAGAGGGGTGTACCCGGGTAAATAATTGAAATGCCTGAAGTGTTGTTCTTCTTCGTTTGTAAAAGAAATATTGAGTTTGTGCCATGTTCTTTAGTGCCTTTCAGGAATTAATCACCTTTCAGGAATTAATCACTACGACACTTTGGGTGTCTATTGCCAAGATAAATCGCTTAAGCACCACGAAGCTCTTTGGAGAAGATCTAAGACTCAGAAGTTGAAGGCCACTTTTAGTTCCCATCTCACAGTGAGGATCCATGAAAGGAGGAAGAGAGCGAGGCATATTTTGCTTTCTCTCTAAATAGTTGAAATATCATTATTGCGAAATATATGTCATGTAACATTATAAATTTTGATGAAATATAAACCCCATTGGCTATTTCATTCCATATCCATTTAACACAATGAAGTAATCTGTAAGAATTGAAAACCATTTCATATATCCAAAAACAAATTCCAGTTTCATTTGTTTTAATATCCAGCCGGCTACCACGAACCTTCGGCACCCACTGTTGGATTCTTGAAAGTAGAGAACTCCCAGTACGTTTTTAGTGAGAACGATGGGTAAACAGTAGCACCTTCTTCAGTCAATAATTCATTTCCTTTACAAACGAAGAAGAACAACACTTCAGGCATTTCAATTATTTACCCGGGTACACCCCTCTCTACCCGGGTAAATAATTCAAGCAATTTCTCAGGTGCTAAGAAAAATACCCGGGTACACCCCTCCCTACCCGGGTAGACAAAAAATTTCAAAAAATACCCGGGTAGGGAGGAGTGTACCCGGGTAGGCTTGGTGGTCAACGGTCAAACAGGGGCAGATTGGTGTTATGTTTTTGGAGGGGGTTAAATTTTTGAAATAGTTTAGAATGAAGGTTAATTTGGTAATTAATTATTAATAAAAGGTTATAAGGGTCAAAAAGCCGTTAAAACCCACTTCCTTAATTTTTCAATGTTATTTAAATCTATTGGTCTCATTGGGAGGGTTTGGGGAATAAGGAATAAAGTATAGGCAACAAAAGATACTAGCACTTAACCTAGCTTACTTGGCACTTAACCTCCTAGCTTACTTGGCAACTGAGATTTTAAAAATTTGCTTAAATCAAGAATTTAAATTCTGTCTCAAACAAATTCTTGAAAAATCTTTGGAAGCCAGAGGATGTGTCTTCTCCTCGAACGAGGGATTAGTCTCATCCTCGAAAACAAGGTGACCGAAGAAGGTTGAATGAAAAATACCTTCAGATTATATCAAAAAAAGAAAAAAAATACTAACACTAATGATAAATTAGTATTGTTTTTGTATGCGTGCAACATCGGGTTCTTTGCACTTGCCTTCTAAAGTCTAAACAGCATAAGAACCCTGTGTCCCCAAAAATTAGAGCCTGCAAAGAAAATGTTTTGATCTACTTACTCTTCTCCTTATCTCTTATATTGAACAAGTTAGCATGTTATTCTAATATAAAGATATGCTCCCACAACAGGGTATGCAAAGCAGTTAGGAATCATGTGACATGTTTAATATCAGTAGGCATACACGTGAAACAGCTTGAAGGAATTATAATTCTTTTGGCACTAACTTGGTTGTTTTTCAACACTAAATTAAGTTACTTATAGCAATGAGAGAAAGATATAAGGGACAATCATTTTGACTACAATGAGGTTTTTAAGAAAAATACAATATCATTGTAATGGTGCCCATATATACTAGGGCAAGAGTAACAACTTCTGTTCAGCAATGAAGATACCAATCTGCGTTTCAGTTCATGGCTTTTCAGATATATCATGTTCTCTGTTATTAACAAATTAGAGTGCAAGAAATTCATCAACTGGTGTCCATGCGAACCCTTCCAAACTTCAAATTGCAAGATTTAACAAATAATCCGTTAGAAACTTCAACTTTAGACTGAGTCAAGTTCTTCCGCTATTTGAGAGTAGTCAAGGTTATGCCACTTCAAGATGATCAAGATAATGTGTAGGAGATGAAACCCATGTATAAGAGCTTCATGGCACAAGGTAGTTGTTGGCCACATATATTCATCATATCCAATATCAATACCACTGACCACCAGCTCCACCTTGAGCAGCAGCAGCAACTTTTCTTGCCATGTATTGAGGCTTTGGCTGCACTCCATTAGAACCTTCAATCCCATCATCTTCTGACCTCTCATTTTTATAGCTTGGGTTTCTCCTAGGATATGAACAGCTTGATGCAGCATACTGAGCCGAAACAGATTGATTCCTAACCATCTTCCGCTGTTCGGCCTCTGCGGTAACCGCCACCCCACAGTTGTTGTAACGCATTACTGGACCAACAACTTTTCCGGGCCTTGCAGCGACACCTGAAGAAAGTGAGCCACAGATATGTATAGGATGAGAATCATATTATAATACCTTTAATCTATATACAATATTATTACCATATTCTGTAAGATTTGTTTTTAAAAATAAAAAGTATTTATAATCTGTGAGTCATTTTACATATAATTCATGTGGATGTGTTAATGTGCGTCTAGAACAAAAGAATATGGTGACGAAAAGTAAGTCATCAAAAGAATCCAAGAGCTCTATTTCAGTATTTCTTCAATACAAATCTGCAGCTTTCAGCCATTCCCAACGTGGGTCCGAAGAAAGAAGTACATATGTACAAACATGCAGAAAGAACCTTTTAATATGAATTAAAATGAAACAAGCTTCAAGAAGGAAAAACATAGAAGGGGAAAAATGCATACTAAAGTGAGTCATCACACCTTGAATATTTTGAGGAGCTTGTAAAGGAAGCTGAGTCATAGGGATAGCACTACTCCTATCTATGGGTGGTTTCTGAACTTCTTTGATGCAACACTTGGATAGATCATCCGCAACCTCAGATGTATTCTGTATTGAGTTATCTGAATACAACACACATGCCCTGCATGTATGGCCTCAAATTCAGTGGGGTTGGCAATTCCAAAAAATATAAATGGTTGTATTCTGATGACAAGATAAAAGAACAATGGCCGAAGAAGAAAGCAACAATTTCCAAAGACAGTAACAAAAAATTAGGATACCTGGGTAAAGATGCATGTTGCCTCTCAGGTGGGGTGACAGTTCCCCCTTTACCGTAATGCTCCTCAAGATATGCAAATTGCTTCTTGAAGTGGTCCACAGCACTATAGAGTAGAGTTTAGGAGAAAAGGAGGGGGTGAAGTCAAAGTTATGACCTTACATACTACTTATAATAGGGTAACAAAACCAAAGAAAGATAAAATACATCCATCCAAAGAAGAAGATGATTGCCCTTCAAGGTCCACATGTATGGAGAATTAAAACAACTAATCAAATAGTAAGAACAATCCCAATCTTTTCATTGACAAAGAAGAATTCATTTTAGAAAGAAAGGAAAATGCAGAATGGGAGGATAAGAAATACACGTTGGAATAATAGACAAACAAAACATAAGACAAAAATATTTGACAATTAGCAATCACAATATTACATATGTCTATATAGATAGATAAATTTTTGCATTCAAATCTACGAACTAAATATGGAATTTGAAAACCATATGGCTATTTTTTACCTTAAGAGAAAGGAAAATGGAGAATTTTTTTAATATACATATGTTGGGGCTTGTAATAACAATTTATTTTGTACTTTCTTTAATAAATTTGATTGTTTTAGCCATAACTCACATTCAGAATACTATAAAAGTTAAATGTAAATAAACAAGGTACTGGAAATATCGACTCCTTAATGAGTAAAAGTATAAATTGTAAATAAGTTGCCCAAATTTATCAACAGTTCAGTAACAATATCAGGTGAAAGCATCACAATACGTTGTTCATAAAGTGATTAAACCAACACAAAAGAATGGGATGTGAAACAAAAATTTGGGTGCGGGTTTAGAAAATACCTTGGATACATGAAACCTGTTGGCTCTTCTCCCTCTAGAAATTCCTTTAACATTTTTGGATGATACTCCAGAATCTCTCGGTATATAAGCTCTCGTACATCTTCCTTTGTTATCCTACGTCTCTCAAATTCAAATTCCATCTTGGTAACTGGCTGAGCAGAAGGTTCCCTCTCAACCTTGGCCAAGCCTTTAAAATATGGATCCGCTAGAGCCTAACATTATTATACACAAGATGCCCTGTCAGCTAGATATATCAGAGAAAGTGAACAGCAGATAGATGGACATCAAGATTCAACCTCTTCAGCAGTAGGCCGATCCTTAGGTTCAAACGCTAGCATTCTTTCTAACAAACGAAGAGCAAGGGGGTCTGCATTGGGAAACTTCTGGGACAAAGGAACTGGCTTCTTCTTACGCATGCTGCTCAAGTATCTCCGAGCTTTCTCATTTCGTACCTGTTAATATAATAGTAAGGTTGCATTGAGTAACAAAATAAAGCAAATAAATTCGCTAAAAGGAAGGAAAACTGAAAAACAGACCCTCGCAACGGCTTCAGGAGACGGTGTTCCAAGAAGATCACTCATGAGGTCTAGTTGATGGACAACATTCTTCCCAGGGAAAAGAGGTTTTCCAGTTAAAAGTTCTGCAAAAATGCAGCCAATACTCCAAATGTCTATAGCTGGTGTATACTGAAAAAACATAAAGTTTATGACCATATATATATTTACTAAGTGCAGGATAATAAATCAGTAAGATACTCAAGCATAGAAACATTATCCATTTTCATTTCACAAACATGATCAACCTACTATTTGATTTGACTACAATTAAACAGTAAAAAAAAATGCATAACTAAATCTTTTCAGAAAGCAAATTAGCAAAAGAAACAAACAATAATAGACACTTTTTCCTTTTGTATTTAAATCTTACAAGTATTGAGAATAGGCTTTATGTAATTTAAAGTAAAACATGACCTTAAACCAGTTAGTTGATGTCCAAACCATCCTAAATGAGATAAGAATCTAACACAAATTTGATGTGCAAACCAGAGAGATTGAGAATAAAAGTGAATATTGAGAGTTGACTGCAGTTAGACATCAAAACATGTTGTCAAAACCATATTTGATGAAGATACCCAAATATTCAGAAGACGCAATGAGTACTTTTACTATAAACATGTAGATGGCAAATCAGACGTGGGAGAAAGATTTGGGCTTCCATATTATTCTTCAAACTTCTAGCCATTTACAAATTATTCATACTCAGCATAAACTGGAATTCTAGGGCAACATATTTATTCTTTAGTACAATTAAAAGTTAAAACAACTATTTGACAAATTCACCATGAAAAAAAAAACTTTTTGACTAAATAAATCAACAACCACTCGATAGAGTATAGAATTGATATGCGTAGTATAAAATTAATATTAAGAACATGATATCAATGTGTTTCAACTTGCAATGTCTTTTCAAATTTATCACTGTATTGCATATAAAAGATAATAACTTCAATAAATGAACAAAGAAAACCTTTTCTGTTCTGTTTGGGCATCAATGCCATTTCTACATGCAAACTAAGAACTATAACATAAAAAAATCCACAACTACATTAATGGATAATTATCTCCTCACTATTGATGCTGGTTAATGTTTTCAGCAACCAATCTACCTACATCCAATTAAACAAGTTCTTTATTCGTCAAGGAGAGAAAATGCCATTATCTGTAAAGATCACAGGCCCAACAGCTAGAGTACACCAATTAGTGCTTAAAACAAAGTGTACATGCCTATATAAGTCCAAATACATTGATTGAATAGTTTCTCAATAATTCCTGTATTCTCCTGGCATATTTTTTTGAAGGAAAGAAGCAATAGGGACAACAAGGGGGGGAGAAAAGGGATGTACCCAAACTTTAATCTATCAAGAAGAGGTAAATAACGGATAAAAATTGATCAAGGATCTTAAATAATAGTCATAACATATTTTGCACCTTGGAGAAAAAAGATCCACACAACTCAGGAGCCCTATACCACCTTGTTGCAACATAGTCCTGTGAGCAAACAAGTGCAATTAAGAGTGATGAACTGTGAAGGAAAGCCATGTTAAAGGTGATAGTTTCAGGGAAAAAGAATCATACTGTCCAGAATATAGCAGTGGGTGTATCATTAAAAGCCACTCTGGCAAGACCAAAGTCACAAATCTTCAGTTTGCAGTCAGCATTTGCTAAAATGTTTTTTGGCTTTAGATCTCGGTGAAAAACATTTGCTACAAGACCATTAAGAAGTTTGAAATCAGCCACAATGATCATATAATTTAGTAACTAATTTAATGCAATAACAAAAGCAAATATGCTACAGCAAGCAATCTATAAAAAATCCCCTGACTAAATGTATAGATCATAACCTGTGTGTATATACTTCAAGCCTCGAAGAAGCTGATAGAGGAAAAACTGGTAATGCTCTGGAGTCAGATCATCATTTGCTTTGATGACCTGATGTAAATCAGATTCCATGAGTTCAAAAACAACATATATATCTTTGAATTCCCTTCTAGAAGGAGGTAACAATATATGCTTGATCTCCACAATATCTGGATGACGTAAAAGTCTAAGAAGCTTAATCTCGCGAAGAATGCGAGTGGCATCAGAAACATGTTCAAATATGTCATTGATTTTCTTTATTGCAACCTTTTCCCCAGTGTGTGTATCGTATGCAGAGCAAACAACACCATAGCTTCCTTTACCAATTACTTCCTCTATTTTGTATCTGCTCCCTTCACCATATTCAGTAAAGAAGTCTACATCCACGGATGACTGCATAAACAAACCCAACCAAACTATTCACTGAAGGTACTATGCAAACCCCAAGCGTAAATATGGTTTAAATGATCTAGAACATAGATATTGCAGCGAAGGAAATCAAAATGATGTTCCACATTTTTATACCAGAAAGTTGCAAGCTCAGTGTCTAACACTTGCATCCGTCCATAAACACAGAAGGATAAAAGTAGCTCCAAAGTTTTAAAAAAATGAATACCAACAAAGTTAATTTACCAACATAGTTAATTTACAATTTATGAAGATTGAAGACCTACCAGAGTAATTCCAATAAGTGGAAGAGTACATTAGACTCGATCCCTCTCTAACAATAACAATAACAATATATATATATATATATATATATATATATATATATATATATATTTTCTGGAGGTTTTAAATCCAATATATGTGGAATTTACTTTGTACAAATAAAATTTACAGATTTTGATTGTCTAGAGTTCTAACAGAACTGTATAAAATCTCAACCACAAAAAATGTCTCATTTAATTGTAAATATAAATTTAAAACTTGCCAAACCAATGAGAACCAACAGATGCATAACTGGACCTTGCGCAGTTATTTTTTCAACAGTAGGTGATCCTTAACCAAAATTCAGAGGGATAAAAGATAAACGATGCAAGTAATAAAATTTATTATCAGTGAGTTTGTAATATTAAAATGAACAATGAAACCAAAAAAAAAAGGCCATATAAATCCATTGCAATAGTCTGAAGATACGGTAGGAACCAAAATCTTAAATGATGGAAAACTTTATGCAGGATCTCTCACAAACCAACCCTATAGACGTAAGCATATGGCAGGGAAGTACAGACATTAGCAAAACACGCCGTTTCTTCTTAAACAGACACGGCTCTCATATGCACAATACAAACCCAAACAAAAAGAGAAAAAAGTAAGCAGTGCCGGGGAACAGGCAAGGGTTAGAGTACCATACTAGATGGTACAAAAGAACAAAATTTTAATCATGAAGAGTACAAATTCTATACATATCCTACAGATACAGAACTAACAACACAAAAAGCATTCACTCCCCTCAATACCCACCCAATTTCTCCCCTCGATAATACAAACTAACAATACAATACAAATTACGCTACACACATATACATTTTAATATATGTAACTTTACCTTTTTTCTCTGATCAGGAAGCATCTTTGCAACTGAGCATAAAAACCCTTTAATGATTTAAGCCAATAGGTGTAGCCAATGATCCCCTCCTCTTAACTCAAAACCAAATCACCGAAATTCCCACTTCTAGTAAATAAACCCCGAAAAAAGAGTTAACCCCACGAGCACTAGAACGACCCAGATCACGAGGGGGCGGTTAAAATACAAAAAGGAAATCGAATCCGCAACAAGAAAATCCAAATTAATAGAAAAAGGAAAAGGAGAAAACTTTCAATTCAAACTTGAACAGAGTTTAACAAGAAAACAGGCCCAGTAAAGTTTGGCAACCAATATAGCACCCGCGATTGAAAAAACAGGAACTTGTACTAGAATACCACTATATTAGAATCAAAAAAGTGAGAAGAGGAAACCCCAAAAAAAAAAAAAATGGCGGAAGTCTCGAAATGTAGCTGAAAAGACCGAGGTTACAGATCACGTATGAGTAAGAATCCTTGTAAGGTGTTGAGAAGAATCAGCGGAAAAATCTAATCTTGGAGGATCTGCTGCGGCGATAATCACTAGCACACTATTAAAGGGAATGAATAGAATAAAGGGAAGTGCTTGGGAATTCAGAACAGAATAAGATTCCTGATATTGGAGAACTGAAGAAGCAGAATGAAAGAAAATTGGAAGTGAAAAAACATAAACTTTTGGATCTCAGAGAGAGAGAGAGAGACCATGTACTAAAAGTTCAAGTTGAAGAAGGTTGTGGTGTGAAGCATGAGAGACACATAAATGGACGAATATGAGGAAAATAATAATAATAATAATAATAATAATAATTCGAAAATGAGTTTGATTTAAAAGGGAGACTATGGTCTGAGGCTCTGAGCGTGTCTTTGCCACTCAATTTTCCCATTCTTTCACTTTATTTTTAATTTTTAATTTTCTCTTTTTTTTTAATAAAAAAATATGCTGGATAAGATGAAGATATCATGTGGAAGAGAGACTACTGAACCTTGCATTCATTGTCAATAATTGCTCCTTAACTTGTTTGTCATTATTAATTAATAAATGAAGTAAAGATACCTGTAATTTTTCTAAAAAAAATATTGAGAAATTGAAAGTGTATAATCAAAAAAATTAAGTGATGTTGATTGTAAAATATTATGTTTCTGTTTAAGTATCATTTTTAAACATTAAATATATAAATAGTTTTAAAAATTACATTTTGTGTCACTGTTAAGTTTATTTTGTAGCGTAAATTGTGAGAACCCTGTTTTTTAAAAGAAAACCGCTTCCCACTTGTTAGAATTTATTTGGAAAAAGTTCACCAATGTTCTAGCGGTTTATTTCAGAATTACTTATATTTCTGTGATTTTTTTCTTATTATATATGCTTCTGTGATTTGTAAAAGGGTATATTTTTTATCATATATGTCCCTGTGGTTTCTTAGTTTTTACAAAACACAGAAACACATGTGATCGAAAAAAAATCACAAGAACTAAGTAATTCTAGAGTAAAAATTTTTCCAAATTATTTTTAGATGTCTCCTCAGTCCTTTTCATGTTCGATTATTATGAAAAATAAACAACGGTAAACCTAGTCGTTAGGAGTCAAATGAGTTGGCATATATTCTTGTCAACGTGATTTTCATTTCATAAAATGCCAAAACAAACAGGTTCTAAATATTATCGAGTGTTTAGAAAGAAAGAGCACCAACATATGAATATGATTGCTTGCATCAGAAAATTTATTGCTTGTTCAATTTTGCGTTTTTCTTATATTAAGTTAAAGTTTGTGTACTTATTAATCATTTTCTACTTGTTGTGAAGGGAAAGAAAATACATATACATACGTATATAACATGTAGAATTGCTGTATGTTTTTGCATTTAATTTAGGTGCAATCTTTCTTCTGTTAAAAAAAATAAAAAAACAAGAAGGAAGAATTTAATAAGGATATCCTACCATCCATATTTCAAAGCGAAAAAGGAAGTGACAAATAATCGGAACAAGAATTTTGCTAATGGACAAGAAGAAATTTTTGTTTTTCTATCTTTGTTTGAGTAAATCAAGGCAAGAGATTTATCCATTTGATTTGATCAGATATTTATATTAAAAACAGTGTTAGAATTTACTGATTCCAAATGGCATGTGCATCACATGGATTGAATAGTTCTCTAGCTGCGAATCGGTGTTGTTAGTTATAAAATAAGGGTTTTATTTATCTCATTTTACATGAGATAAATAATTTTCCTACACACAAAAAGAGGTTGGGTCCCACCATTTTTTTTTTCTCTCCTCTTACTTGTGGGTCCCACTTATACTTTTATTTCTATAACATGAGATAATTTTTTTCTATAACATAAGAAAAATATATCCCATAAAATAATATGGAGACTCGGCTCTGTCAAATGTTATGTTTTTTTAACTCACGTATGTTAAATAATAGAATACTTACTTGTTTTATATTTTTTTTATTCTTGTGTATGCAGTTCATCTGAATTGGGTTCCTTCACGGTTTTGAATCTATCCTATGCACCATAGTTTTAGGAGCATTATTAATGATAAGTAGTAAGTTGAAAGAGATAAGGATAGCATCTCTTAAATAAGTTGATCCACGAGGTCTAATGTTTTGGGGTGTGCCACGTGGTACCGAGTTGATCCATCCAAATGACTCTTAAATAAGTACAACTCACCTTTTGTTACTCGTAATTATACATTTGAATTGAATTTATAACCTCGAGATCACATGATGATCATATCCAATTATTACGATAAGGTTGCTTTGGGAAGTTTGCTGTGTAACAAAAGTTTGAAAACATCTCCAAACATGTGAATTAATTGGTAACCAATTATTCTAACTTAGATAGTGTTTTTTAGTTCGATATTTGAGTATGTGACTATATTAAAATATGATAAGGAGAATTGGATGATTAGTTGGCATATCGGATTTGGATGATTTATTAAAAAAAAATTGTTAAAAAAATCTCTAAATTTTTTTAATAACGCGTGAAGCTAAATCGACTTACATCTTTGTAGTTTGTTCAGATAACAATATTTTTAAATGTAACCCAGTAATTTGTTAGAGAGAGTAGTACAATGAGGTCGACCATCACTAATATTTTCGTCAAGACATCATTGGTATCGCCGTGATTTTCTCTCTCCCACTATTACTGTCATTTTCTCACTTGTAATGATATTTTAACTTTATCTTTTCCAAAAATCACAATAAGCTTATTTAAAAACTAAGGAAAAATTATTTGTCTTTTATACAATTTGTGTCATTTTATTTTTATAAAGAGATGAGACTCACATTTTTATATTTTTTTATTCACTCTCTTTTTTCATTTATATTTTTTTTTCCCTCACTTAAAATAACTTAATTTTACATCTTTTAAAACGATACACGTTTTTTCAAAAAACTAAACACACTATCCTCAGTGTTTTGAGTTGTGTAATTAAATTCCTAAAAAATTATATATAAGATCTCTAATACTAACCAAAAGTTAATCATTGTAGCGTTCTTTTAAGTTTGGCGAAACAAGATTCGGATTTATTTGTGTGGCGGAGAATTGTAATGTCTCCACCATCCATCCTAGTTCAAAATGTAAATATTCATTTCTATTACTTTTTTCTTTGATGATATCTCCCGCATGCTCCCAGATCCTTTTTTGGCCAAACACTAAGGGGGCGTTTGGTACTGGAGAAATTTTTTTGTATCCTGGAATCACGATTACCGGGTATATAGTTGGAACAAAAATTGTCTAGGAATTTTACGAAAAAGATGTTTGGTAGGATAAAATATTACTGGGAATATTAGTTAATTTTTGAGTATTGGTGTTTGGTTGAAAACAAAATATTGCTGGGAATATAATAAAATTTGACAAAAGTGCCCTTGTCAAGAATAACTGAAAAAAATGATTAACTGAAAATATACAACAAAACGTAAAGAACGACCTGATGCATCATTGGTGACCTAATGTTCCACTTTATCAATCTGAGTTCTTCCATTTCGTGAAACCGCGATGTTATGATCAATTCTCCGTGTAAGTTTCGTTCAATGTTCCCATATTCTAAAGTTACTATTGTGTCTTACCTTTGCAAGCATGTTGGAACGAAAAATGATAATTGTTCCGCTAACAGTGTCATTTTCTTTGCGCAGGGGAAAAGTTAATTTTTATGTCTGACGAAGAATGAGGTGATTCTGACGATGTTGTCTTCGTCCATGAGAACAAACCTGAGTTGAAGTCAAAGCCTTCCACTTTGGCTGTGAAAGATGATGATGATGATGATTGCGAGGTTCTAGAAGGTGACCCAGAAAAATGTGTTGTTTCTGTGGATGAGGATGCAACTGGGTCGGACAAGTTGCATGTAGTTGGGGAGAAGGGTCAGGTATGTCCTTCAGTTTATTGCTTCAGTTATGTTAGTCATTATGGGAATTGTTTTCTAAAGTCTGAATCTTTGAGTTGTTATTGGGAAAGTGATGGCAGAATTAGAGAATGTATTGCTTTGGGGTGGTTTAATTTTTTAGATATGTGTTGCAGACATGGATGTATGCCCTGTTTGTGTTATTTGGATGTATTATGAATTGTAAAAATTTGTGATTAACTAAGCTTTGGTAGTTTGGTGTAAGGCTTGATATATTAATTTTATTATAGGATTCATCAACAAGCACAATAAAGCTGAAACCATTTCGTTGATGTGTTTAGCTTGAATAGATATTTTTCATGGGAATATGCTTTGTCAAGGAAACCATTTGCAGTAGTTTTATTAATTCAATTTTTTTTGTTTCATGTCTAGGAATTGGATATTTTTCTATCCTCCTAGTTGTGTTGGGTTATTTATGCTTCATTTTGCATTATCAAGTGAACTTTATGTTGGGTTATTTATGTCCACAAATGAGGCTTTCGAAATACTTAGTAATGAATTCTCAAGTGAACTTTAGCTTTTGTCCATTCTGCTACAAGCCAAAGGAAAAATAAATAAAATTGCTTGGCTTAATTGTGTCAATTCTACACTTAATCCAAAAACTATTCTTATTTGAACCTTCTGTCACACAATGATACCTTTCAAAGTATGACAATTAATAGTTTCTCACACCTTTTGCCCCTTTTCAAAGTTTTACTAGTCTTAGTAAAAGAGTACATGCAGTAGCCAGTATATTCATTGCTTATAAAGCCATGTAATCATAACACTTATGCAATTCAACCAAGTTATAAACTTCACAGAATATCGTGGTGTACATTTTTTTTTGCTTAATTATAATTTGTGTTGTTCAATGCCGCAGGGGTCTCTTGTGATCTGTTTAATGGGTTTTGGTATGTTACTGACTTGAACATTGGGCCCATTCATGAAAATTCTCTAAGTTGTGCCAAAATTTTGGAATTTAGACCACAATTGTTTGAGCTCAAGCACCTTAAAGCTCTGTCCTTCTTCAAACTCTTTGAATCACAACACAGGAATCAAGTTACTATCCCCAAGGGAAACTGGGAAAAACTGGCTGGCAGCTTAGAATCACTTGAGTTTAGATCAAACACAGGTCTCATTGGATTAATTCCTTCAAGTTTTGGAGTCCTCATGAACCCTCAGTCACTAGTATTATTAGAGAATGGTTTGACAGATGAGATTCCACCAGATATTGGCAACCTCAACAAGTTGAAGAAGCATGTTCTTGCTGTAAACTATTTTACTGGGAAGATTCCAGATGTTTTTAGTGCATTAACTGAGTTATTAATCTTTGATTTAAGTAGAAATTCTTGCAAGAAATATTGATGATGGTTCTATTCTTACTGCAAAGTTTATTTAATATTTAATCAAGAAGAGCTCAACTTAGGCTATAACTTTTTAGGTGTCACAACAACCTATATTTTCTCTTTTGTATTTTGTTCTAAACATAAGGCGACTGTCTTTTCAATTTATTAATTGTCCAATAAGGTAATTATCTTCACAGCTACTTCAGCTCACTTTTAATCATAAAACAAAATTTCTCAAAGTCTACGATTCTTTTTTTAGTTCATTTTAAACTGCAATAAAGAAAAAAGAAAAAAAAGGGAACACCAGAATAAACCCTTTGCCATGGTAAAGCAACAAACTATGAGGGTCCCACTACATATGTCACATAAAACCAGCCATGCCTAATGTCTCTTAAACAACTTTTGTAATCACATAACTGCACAATTGAACATATGTGGAGCCGCATAAGAGTTGATACGAAGAGAATCTTGGTGCGCAATTATTTTGTACTAAAATAATTGAACTTGTTATTGTCTTTCACTATTAAAGTAATATATTTTTTATATTTATAATTTATTAAACTATAGCAGTATTAGAAAATGATTAAAATTTATTTTTAAGAATTGTGTGAGTGGTGATGCCAGTTCTGGTTGGAAATGGTAAAGAAACAAGAATCAAGATGAAGCAGAATGCAGAACCATTAATCAATGAAAATAGGAAATTTATATTGAATCGAAAAGAAAAAAAATAGATCAGTATACTGACTAGCAGGATTTCACAGAGGCAACTTGATTGACAGCAGTTCGAGAAGCAAAAGAAAAAGAACAGATGAGAGAATGAAGAAAGAACAAGACCTTGAACAAGTTAGTTTGATTTGAGTTTTTGTGACCTCTAATCTGATTTCTGGCTGGAATTTTTATTTAAAACTATTAAACTATTATAGTTAGTTCCAAGTAACACATATAAACAGAGTGTGACACCTCGTACTGCATAAATTGCACACGATTTATATAACATATCAACCACATATACATACGGGTTTCACATCACATACATATATGTTTCCCAACAGAGTTTGTCATAGTATTTTAACCTACTACAATTCACTACATTAACAAGGAACTGAACAAGCTGCTCTCTATACAGCAGCAACAGGCATACTTGACACTCTTCTTCGTGGTACTTCTTCTGAACAATTGAAACCTGAAACACAGACAAACGAATGCATCAAGTTTTAGGCATATGTCAATTTTGTGTTTAAACTACTCCTAAAGACACTAACTAACCGAGGCTAGAACTATCATTATCAAAGCTATGATTTTTGCAGATTTTAAACCATTTTTTTGAATCAGACTTGAATATCATGTAAACCCATATCATAAGGCTTGTAACGTATCATATAGTTCTAACCTTAAGATAGTAAATCAAGTCTGCATCAGACATTTACATACATACTTACCTGATACAAAGTGACACTTAGGGAGTGCTGCACATTGCAGTTGACATAACTGGTTTCACAACCTGCAATTGAGACAGATGCATTATTTTCTATTAAATGTTAAGTACGTCTACATATAAAATTGGCAGCAATACCTCATACTATGACAACAATGTACTGCCATTCATTTTGATGTATCATACTAACCTCATCCATACAGCACACATGTACAAGATGCACATTATCAACATATGAGAGATGTAATCCTCCTCCTCAAAATATCATGAAAACAGATTAACACCAAAAGACCCATATACATACGCATGCCTCCAAAAAATTCAGTATGCGATCTAGTGTTTCATGTACAATCCAAAAAAAGGTCACAATCCGACAGTATGTCCATATGAAATGGTCTTCCTTTACTATCCATTTGACTTGACCTCCAAAAATATTAACATATACATAATTGATAATTCTTTGTACACTGTCATGTACAGTCCAAAAAAGGGTTACCACAAGCACCCACATACTGTACATAGACCTCCAAAAAAGACACTTTCTTTGTTTAGTGAGCAGTTTCCAACAACGTTGCCACAACAAAGAACCTCTCCTCATAATTTCCCTGCATGAAAATATCCATCATGTCCTTATCCTTGGCCAATATCATTGCAACCTTCACCCTCTGTGAGACACTCAATCCTTCTATCTTTTTTAATTCATCTAGAATAGACATTCTAGGATCTACAGGAGTTGGCTCCGGTGGAGTAGGAATTGGAGTTGGAGTTGGAGTTGGAATTTCAGATTCAAAACAAGAAACCATTCTATCCATTTTGTCGGTTGCATTTCTATAAGTATGGGTCAGGTCTTTCATGGTTTCAGCAACCATAACAGTAACTGCATCCTCACTTCTTGCACGTTTCTTCCCCCTCTTAGCAGCTGTGGTAGACCCTGGAGAATGTGCCACAACCTCTTCAGTAGCAGTATCCGGGAGTGGATTAAGATTTCCTGTTTCTAGAGTGTCATCCATGAGGTTATAGAAATCATCTCCACCATCCACAGTTTCATCGAATGTAGCAGGTCCTCTGTCATAATCTTCTACAACATCTTCAGGGGCCTCTACATGTTGTCCAGTAGCAACATCCCGACCGAAAATTGGAGCTAAGTCATGAAAGAAAGGGAAAGGTTTTTTGTAAAGCCCCCTAGCATTTGGATGGGTCTGTAAAAAAAAAAAAAAAAAACCATTACATACATATATTACAAAAAACATGTGCTATAAGGTTTACATATGAGAGATGTAGTGCAGCAACAAATTTAACATTAAATTTGACCTTAACCCAATCATTGAAGATTTGTTTTTCCACATCAATGCACTTAGACTTATCGTTCCATCCAAACCCGCTTCCTCCATTAGGGCCTGTCATCTCGCAAATTGCATTGTAGTGTCGTTTCAGCAGTTTTATTCTTGATGTGATATGAGGGGTTGCTTTCAAAAGACACCCAGGTATTTTCCTTTGTATCATCTTCTCAAGATGAATAGCAAAACCGGCCTTAAAACCATTGTCACCCTTCCATAATAAACCAATTTCCAGCAGACATTGTACAAGAGCCTTGTCTTCCTCAGCCGTCCACGTATGATTGATGCGTTTGGTGGATTGTTGACTTTCGTCGGCCATCTATGCAAAGAAACAAAATAATATACAACATTGAAAATAATGAAGCAAAAAATCTTACTAAATTGGAAATTATATAAATACAACCATATTAGACCATAATAACCACATATTGCTATAATCTGTCTATTAGTTATTATTACATTATACCCGAGGTTTTTTAAGCATCTATAGTGTGCCACCCTAATACAATACAAAAAAGAACACACATATATAGTTGTTCAAAACATGGCACAACCAATTCAAACACGTCTCCTCCATGCGTTAAACATCTGTTGTGCCAACTCATCCCTCTGAGCAGTCCAAGCATTGGATGTCTCAACGTGAGTTATCATAGCCTCTTCTGGACTATCATCTTGGGCCTCATGTATGTGCACTTCTCCATTATCTTCTAAAGGGTCAACTGGCATCTCCCTCCTTATATGGTTATGAAGCAAGCAACATGCAGTTATTATCCTGCATTGCGTTTTAACCGGATAATATGATTTTGATCTTAGAATGGCCCAACGCCCCTTCAACAACCCGAAACATCGTTCAATGACGTTCCTAGCACAAGAGTGTTTCATGTTAAAAAACTCTTGTGCTGTTGTTGGTTGTGACCCATGTCGCCACTCATTAAGATGATATCTTTGCCCTCTATATGGTGCCAGAAATCCTTCCCCGTTCATGTAGCCAGCATCACACAGATAATAGTATCCTGGAAATAAAATAGGTTAAGCATGTTTTAATTACTTTAATAAAAAATGTACCTCTAACTAAATGTAAAATGGTAACAAATCATAGTCTTTCATTACCTTTTGGCACCCTTAATCCATTCCGACGAGAGATAGCATCCCTGAGTACCCTTGAGTCTGCGGCTGAACCCTCCCATCCAGGCAATACATAAATGAATTGACAATCTTGAGAACAAACTCCTAGGACGTTTGTGGATATTTCACCCTTCCTACTCCGATATCTAGCCTTATCAGCTTGTAGGGGATTTACCTTGATGTGTGTTCCATCCAATGCTCCTAAACAATTCTATAATAACAAAAAAAAATTATTACTCATGTAACTGATATGACAAGCATCCATTATCATTAGATTCATTGTAAAGTTAAATACACACTAAGATAGTACCTTGAACCATTTCCACCTCTCGTCAGTTGAATTTTCTGGGACAGGCTCAGGTCTTTTGAGTAAAACGCAATGACATCGTATAATAGCCTCCAAAACCTTAGCGAACTGTCTACTTATCGTTTCACCGGATCGAATGAATTGTCTTTTAATTATCCTATTCTTGACATCATGAGCCAAAATGTGCAAAAAAATTGCAACAAGCTCTTCTACATGCATGTGCTTAGTTGGTTCAAGCCTCCCAACTGTCCTCAGTAAGTCACACAATTTATAAAAACTATTCCTATCCATCCTGGTATTCTCAATACAAGCTGTGTCACTCATGTAAACTATTCGGTGGACACTTATTTTCCTTATCGTCGCCCTTCTATAACAATCCCATGTAACTTTGTTCCTACTACGTTTCCTTTTTTCCATTTCGGCTAATAATAGAGCACACATACTAATTAATATCAAGGTAAGTTGATTCAAACAGTCCATATAGCACAAGAATAGAACTAATAGTTTCTTTTTCTTTCTATTCATAATTGACACTCAATCTTACTGAATTTTTTCAACGCTTAAATATCATTCACAAAACGACCTATCGTATTTGTGAAACACGGACACACTAATCTAGTGACGAATCTAGGATTCTGCATTGACAGAAGAAAGAGTATTAGTGTATGATTCAATGTCATAAGTAAAGGGTTACATTGATATGTCTTTAGAATGGATAAGGCGTAGTCAAATATATTTACCCCTCTGCAAAACAAATATAGTACCATATGTCACTGCATATGCAACACCAAATACAGATATTTCAACAGCATAAA